ATGCAAAGATCAGCAGGATTGAAGTGGAAGTTGCTTCATATTTAACAGTCTTGGGGAGAGAGCCAAGTCTTGTGGTCTGATAGTATGCAATTTTCATCAAAGTAATAGGAGATGATGTCTTAGATTCTCAGAGTACTGGGCTGGAGGAAAATCAGGCATTTCATTGCCCTGCTCTAAGCGCTTACTATTTACTTTTATGATTGTTTCCTTGTCTATAAAAATTATACAGGATATCCATCTCTCCCAGGCAAAGACTAGACAGTAGCGAGCCGACAATCCAAAAACTGCGATAGAATCAAATTTGTGTTCTACAAAAGGAAAAAAAAGACCCAAACAATGTTGCCAAAAACCCACTTAGGTAAGTTAATCTCAATAATAGTTGCAAATAATCACAACTCAGCATATTTGTTTGTGTTCTTTAACAGTCACTCTTCAGCTTTCTTTTCACCTTTTGCTTAATTTCACTCCATGTTTGGTTAAAGGCAGGCTCACAGTGAGCACCACTGAAAGCTTTATCACAACAAGCTTTATTAATAATTGAATAAATATATTTCTATGTATATCCAGATGCCTTCAGAATGATATAACTCATGTATGTCCGTGGAGTTATAACAGAATACTTTACAAAATTAATCAATTCAAATTGGTAATAAGAAATAATTTGTTAATTAGTATCTATTTGTAGCAGAACTGTTTGCTAGCATCAAATTAACATGTTATGAAAGTTTAACAACTTATCAAATAATATTATATGTAGTATTGTAATATTATAAATGGTGGTTATTATGAAGTGTTCCTTGGAAAACTGCTGCTTTTAAGCACTAAGGCTCTGCTGAAAAATCAGGGGCCTTGTGGAGAGACAAAGAGATGGTGAGAATGGAGAGTGTGGCTGGTTCTGACAGATGCTGTCAAAAGTTGGGGAATTGTGTATGAAATGTTCACCCAAATGTGGTCACTTCCACAAGTAATGTCAGTTCTCCTGAACCTGCCTAAAAAGATGTTGCTTCAGCTGACACAATAAGAATGGCGTTTGACATTGACAGGTTAAGATTGCTTATGTTCATCTTGCAACTGTCTTGCTTTACGCTCTCAAGAGACCACGTTTGACCCAGTTAAAGTGTACTTGCCTTGTGCAGAAGACTAGCTGCAGAAGACAGTCAGACGTTGGGAGAAAGATCTGGTATAACAAGCCTAATTAATATTTCAACCCTTGGTCCTTACCAGACAAAATGGCATGATGAGTGAAAAGATGGTGTCTGCATCTACACGAGTGTGGATCAAAAGCTTTTAATCAAGGAGTTGAAAGAAATTATTATAAAGTGATAAACTGGAATCATTGTTAAACACTGCCTGAAGTCTGGATCTCCTGAACATGACCAAAGAATGAATTTCCTCATTTGTGATGCTTTGCCATGCCTTTAGTGCAGCCGTCTTCAGTTGCTGTTTGTTTTTTTTCTCAACCAAATAAAATCAATGCAGCTGCTTCTGTGATCCATGGTCACTGGAATCCATGCAATTCATCCATGGTCATAACCTCATATAAGGATCCCAAATGCCACATTTCCTTCAATTCCATAATTATTGAAGAAATAATGGAATCATCTGCAACTGTCCATGAAGCTTTTGAGTGTCAAATTATATTTTGTCCCATGAAAAATAGGGATGCCATATTAATATATGTACATTTGTGCTGTACTCTCAAATTAAAGCTAAGAATCTACACTTGTAAGCTTATTTTTTGGCATCTAAACACATTGACAGTGTGATGCAAGATTGTGTTTTAACAAATTATCTGTCTGTTTATTTATATACAACAGTTACTCCTTTAACCACAACCACTTCTCATAATTTCTTTCTAAGTGCCTCTTACTTAAAGCAAGTATGTAAAATTTTTAAATGTTCACCAGATCAGTCATATTATCCAAAAACAGGCTATAAATCACGTTTCAAATGACATCAGGAGTTTAGTGAGATAATGAGGAACATTAATATTCTTATAGTCTAGGTTTTTGCTTTTTCCTGAGAAGTTATCAGTCATTTCCCATAAGACCATAACATTATTTGTCAGTATGACAAATTTATTTTGTCAGTATGACAAATAATGTTCCTCTGTTCAATAGCAAAATGATGACTGTCATGTAACTCTCCAGAAACCCGTATCCATTTTTATTTTACTTTTTTGCTTGTTTTTGTGTGTTTTTGCTTTTTGGACTCAAGCACTACTGATTTTAAAGTGCATCAACCTTGCAAAAGTCATGTTTTCTATGCGGACATCATTTCAGGTGGTAGCGATATGGTTTGCTCTACTACCTCCAGAGAAAACCTTTTCATCTCTGACTGTCCGTCTTGTTTTCCTTCCTCTATCTCAGAATTGCTTTGGCTCTGTTTGCAGCAGGTCACTTCACTGAAACATCATTGTTGATCATCTGCAGGTCTTATAGTATTAAATCCCAAATCTATCTTCTGAACTGCAACTACTTCTCACTCTGACACCTCAGAAAGATTGATAAAAGCTGTGTATTTGTTTATTTATTTAGTGTCATAACATATTCCGATCTTAACAATACTATACAGGTATGATGGTATCCAGTTACTGTACATATGAACACTTAAAAACTTAAATTACACAGTGCATCAGATTTATTATCTATTTTAATCTAACTAGAACCCTAATATACAAAATGAACAAAATGCAATATTAAATATGACCTACATTTTGGAATACTGAGAAACTTTTGTTCATTTTGTCTTGTAATAAATTAAATTGAACAGAACTACACAAATCAAATATATGTTTAAATATGAAATAAACATATATGTATTAGAACTACTAGGTTTTGAAGAATTTCATGAACCTATTTGCACATGTGTTTTTAACCCCAAGTTTATATTTCTGTTTTCCTCTGCAGGATATCTCCAAAGTTCAGAGAATTGTCACTGCCAGTAAATCACCCATGAACGTCAGTGTCATGAGGAGAGAGAATGGCGGAGCCAAAGAGTGCCAGATGGAAAAGGTGAGCCTTTAGAGTAATAAAAATACAGTGGCCTCTCTAATCTTAGTTTCAATTGTTCACTAAATTCATACTCAAGTCCCTCATCAAAAGTCAAAGAACTTGCTTTTGCTTCAAGTGTCCTTAGTGGGTTCATGAATTACAAAATTTTATAGAAGGTCAAGTTTCAACTAAATGATGCATCTTTAGTTAGGAGTTTTGGTGTAGCTCAGCAGTAATTTGGTTTAATGAAATGACACATTACTAAAGGAACACCATGTGCTGCATGAAGACTAATAACACAGTTTTACATTGCTTTGGAGAATGAAGGTGACCTATTATGTTTTTCTTTGTTATGGGTCCTACATGCTTAACTCACTTGACTCTGTATAGCTCCATCTCTTCAGTCTAGATTATTTTTTTTATCCAGTCCAAATGAGATCCCAATATCCTCGTAGATCTTAGTGACATGGATCAGTGAGTCGATCCATGTGACAGGGATGACTCACTGCTGATGTCATCCCTGTACAGGATGTAGCTGATGACTGATAATCACTCCACTTCTACTTTTAGCAATATGCTGGGTTAGGATTGAAGCCAATGCAGAACAGTAGTGTTAACAGTGCATCACTTTGGTATATTCCACTCTTGATTAAGACTTCTGTGATTTCCAGTGGTCTTCCACAGCCCCGCTGAGTTCCTGTTGAACATTAGTAGTGTACTACTAGTGTTGCATTGTGCCAAGCAATATCGATGTGTGGCATATTGAGTCATAGGCTTTCTGAGCTATGCTCATTTGTTGACTCAAATGACTTCTCGGTTTGGTTCCTGTGATGGTTTAGAAGAGCTTTCATGTTGTGGAGAATCAGGTAATTGTAAGTTAGATTACCTTTGTGGGGGTCCTTCATGATCAATGCTGTTTTGCCCTGTACTAACCAGCCCAGATGGATACCTGCTGTTATCAGCTCACTTATTGCCTATATCCCTCAGTCACGGAGGTTTAGCTATGAGCACAGAAGCCTGATCCACCTTCAGTTCAAACCTTCAATTTATAACAGGGAGCTTGTTTTGAGAAAGTTTGGTTCAATGAGTGCAAGGGAGCTAAAACAACTTGTTTCAGGCAGTGGATAAACTGAGCTAGTGCGGCAAGGCCAAGTAAAAAATCAATAAGGATTATTTTTATCTGTGAATCGTACAAATCTTCTTGAATAGAGTCCCATATAAATGTGCATTTGTAAATGAGCATAAGAAGTCCATTTTAATGAGTTGAATAAACTGCAAGTATTGATTTGGTGCTTTTCTTTTTGTTTGTCATTTTAAACTGGATATTCATACTGAACTATGGGTCAAACAATGCAATTCTGAAATCATGATTTGGGCTGTAAGACATGTCTGTGCATCAGTTTAAGTACATTTAAGCAAAAATAATGAATACAAAAATACCTTAAAGATTAATTGAGAAAGAAAATGTTTTTGGTTACATCCTTAAAACTCACTAACAAGTGAGTCCATTTGACCTGTTATTGCATGGGAAAGTACTGTAGTTGCAGTGATCACAAAATTTGCACATTCACACTTCAAAGAGCTCTTCACTCAGAGCCTCATTGACACTTTGACAGCAGTTATTGAGGAAGGAGATCGTGGAGCAGTCACTGACCTCTCCTGTTCAGATTTTTTTCATGAAGGACTTTGGTACCTCAGACAAGAGACTTGCTTCTCCAAGGTCCGGGCAACTGTGAGCAGTCAGCTATGAGGGAGGCTCCAAAAGACTGCTTCCAACAATGTCAAAATCAAGAGGCTCCGAAGAAGCAGAGGAAGTAAACAGAGCCTGTAAGGATTTTTGACAAGTGGCTATCAAGAACTATTACAGGCATAAGTTGATAGACTACAGGAGACAGGGGAATAGTGAGGAGTGCTGCCCTGGAAGAAAATTGCCCTGTGTGGAAACTGTGTCAAAGAGATTGTTCCTTAATGAAATTGTGCCAAAAACAATGTTCACTGGCGTCTCATAATTGATTATATAATTTTGGCAGGGGCGTGAAAAGGGAGAAACATGCTGATACAGATAAGAGGAGACATATTTGAAACAGAGACTCGTGTTTGCCCATGATCATTGCTGCTTTTCCCGCTTGTCCTTTTCTCTCTGTGGGCGGAGAGGAAATGAAGAAAGACAATTTGTATGAGCATGTGTAGCTTGCAGTGTGTCCCTGGTTTGAAAATGAAATGTGATGGCCTTGCTATACTTTAACAAATTGCCTATGTTTTATAGACAGGATTGACATTCAGCTGATACAAAAAGTGCTGCTGTCAGCGCTAATCTGGTTATAATGACGTTAACTCCATAACTGCATTGATGCGGCAAATCTCCGTTAGCGAGTTAGCGCGGCTCGTGCGTGAGTGGGGCTGCAGGGCGTCGTCGTGTTAACGAGCTAATCACGCTAACACGTTGACGCCATGCACCCCCATGCACGGGGAGCGCATTAATGCAGTTATGGCGTTAAAGTCATTTTAACGAAATTAATGCTGGCAGCACTAACAAAAACATCACAGTTGGTGTAAATAATTACTGTTTTAGTACTTATTATAGATTACAACAATCATTCATTTTCAACAATCCACAGCTTCAAATAGCTGCTTTCTCTTTTTTAACAACCAACCCAGCTCTTTATAGTTTGAATAATAAATTGTTAATTGACTAATAAATTAATACTTTTAAACATTTAAAGAGCACATATAAGGCTACGTTTCTTTCATAATGAGAATAAGATAAGCAGCTTACTCTGCTTACTCTGTGGTTGTTGAAGTCAATGATTCCTTGAAGCTTATTTGTAAAAATGAGAGGTTTATGAATTTGACTGATGTGAGTTTATTTATCTGTTTTCACTGAATACATAAAGCTGGGACACTGTACACTGCTACATCAGCTTATCACCCTATGTAATACAATATATCTGTCTGGCAAAGAGGTATATTTTTTTTCATCATCATTTTAGTTACTGTAATGAAAAAGTAAAGTTAGGATGACTGGGTAAATAAAGTATTCCTCATCTCGTCATCATCTCATATTGTCCTCATATTGTTCTCCTAGACTGGGAGTGACTGCTCCCAGAATCAGACGGAGGAATCAGCTCCAGAAAGCAGAAAGCTACCAGAGCAACAGCAGGTGTGTGTCACAGGATTTATATGAAAATATGAATTTATATGCTGACATATTTTTCATGAGTACAGTGAAGTTTTATGTTAATTTATTTTATTGGTTTATCCATTTAAAAGTTAATTCATTCAATCTCAGTCCTAATGCCATTTTCTTTATATCGAAGGCATACGTGTTTCAAATTTGGTCAAAGACCAGTCAAGAAAATAACACAATTCTTAATATTTTGCCCTTGTGCACCATCACAGTGGTGTAGAACGCCCTATCACCCTCCCCCTAAAAACAAAAGTACTGTATTAACTACAGTCATCTTTTTTTTTATATCTAGAGTCTACCATTTTCAGAGGATATTGTTCAATTATGTCCAAATATTAACGAATCTGACTGTATACAATGCACTTTCATTACTAGCAAGTGATATACATATATTATATAATTACATAGTTTATGACAAGATAGTGTAGCACTTTTTACCCTGTCGTAGCTTTTTGACAATAATTTTTGGATTATCCTGCAGTGTAATCAAACAGATGGCATGACAAGCCATTTTCAAACGACAATATGGAAAGAAAGGCAACACAGATGTAGCTGACACATTGTGACGACATCCTTCCTGACAACTACTAACTAAACAAACTGATTTAGCTCTGTATATAATGAAGTACATCCCAAAGACATCAAATGAAACACAGTTGATGATTCATCAAGACACAAGCGAGACACACAACATCTACATCACATTCCTAAAATAAATGGAGAAAAAAAAGAAACCAATCCATAAAAATCTATTATTCAGTGTGCCAATGTCACCTACAGTATGTGATATTCAATGTCCTGTCAAAGTCCATGCTTAACTGCCTCCCTCATCCTATTATTGAATTGAGTCACACCTGTTTGGTGGTGGCAGATGGTACAGCAAAACAATGCATCTCATTTCAATGCAGTGCAATACTGTGTAACTGAGCAACTGTCTTGCATTCCAAGTGGCAGCAATCCATTTTTAGACACGCAGAGTATTTGCAAACAAATACAAGAATATTGCAAAGGAGACAAATGGGCTTATTTGACTTCTCAGGTTTATTTTGTGCCAGAGAGATATTCTGTGAAAGTTTAACAATTGTTTTCTTGTGTAGCAACGCTTTGGACTATGTCACTGATTTATAGCATTATGAGATGTAATGCTATTTCGATTTCGATTTAATATAGTGAACTTAAGCTAGGATGTTACTTGTTAGGGGAGTCAGAAGAATTCACCAAGGCAAAAAAATGTAACTGCAAAAAGAAATCCTTTTTAGGGCACAAAGTACATTTTTAATCCTAGTATTGTTTTCTTTGAAAAAGAAGAAATGCAGGAAAACAGTAGCAAGGTTTTCAGCCATCACCATCAGGTCGGTCTAATGACATTGTAAGACGTAATGGTTATATAGTTATCATCCTTCTTAGATCGCTAATTGGGAAATTTTCATATTGTGTTGCAGTACTAAATGTACAATAGACTCTTTTCCTTCTGTCTGTTTTTATCCCTCTTGCACAGCACTTGCCATACATGGTGTAGTAAACAGTTTGATTAGTAGTAATTTGCATTCCAGTCTCAGTGGATCAATCTGCATTTAGGTGCTCCGTATTTCTGTCACTTCTCCACCTTCATTACGCGTTTTCATGTTCGATTTGTGGCAACTGAGAACCCAAGTGTCATTTCTCCTTATGTTCAGATGTTTTTGAAAGAAAAAGTGTTTGCAGTCTTGTACCTGTGCCATTTAAACTTAATGCAATGTATCTATATTTCAGATTATGTTTAAACACATCAATAACTTCATTGAAAAAAAAAGTTGGTTCATTTTTTTTTTTCTTTTCTGTGTTCCTATAGGTCAAACATATAACTTCATACCATTTTAGCACATGTTGACATTCTTAAGCAACAGAGCATATTTCAGAAGTACCACAGCATGAGTAATGTTTGTGTCTGACATTCCTGAATTCATTAAAAATGTGCAAGTGGAAGCACGCCAGCTGGAATATAAAAATCACAAAGGGTGATAAGGAAATGATCAAAATCAAGTAAGGCAGCTATGCAGTCATTCAAATAAACAGCTACTGTTTATGATTCAAAGTGAGGAAAAAAAATTAGCAAAAATATGTTTTAGGCTTCCAAAGAATTCCTTCTTGTCACAGTTTGCCGAGGCAAACTGCGTGGAGTGTGAAGAGTGGACCCAGGTGCAGACATTCTAAAACTCAAACTTAACTGATGAGCTGTTTATTAAGGCAGACAGAACAGTACAAAATAAAAGGGCAAAAACAATGCAAACTAAGCAATAACCTAAACTGGGTAAACTAGAAAGGAAGCACGAACAATGAAAAACCCTGGCAAACAGAAAAACAAACAAAACTCTAAACATGGCAATGAAGATGAGCATATATATATATATATATATATATATGAAAACCTGAACGCAGGACTTGGCATGGGAACAACACAGACGATCCGACAAAAACTGAATGAGAACGCACAGACTACACACAGGAGGCTACTGAGAGAAGTGGGAACGCATGGGGGACAGCTGACACACATGAACATAACGATGTCACAGTGGAAGAGTAAAACTAAACACGATGAACACAGGAACACAAGACCTCTTCAAAATAAAACAGGAAACATGAGAGGCAGACATGACAACATAAGACACACAGACATGAAACACACGAAGGGCAAGGGAGACTTCACAGGGGTTGAAAACACAAAGGGGAGCTAATAAGCAAATGAACATAAGAAACCTAATAAGCTTAAACATACACTATAAACATCAAAAGAACTAAAACTCAAAACACTGGGTCATAAGACCCAGGATCGTGACACTTCTGCTTTCACCTATTTTGCTAATAATGATGTTATTCGATCAGTGGTATGTGTTTAGTGGTGTCTTTTAAAGTATTATATAGCTACTGATTTTTCTGTTGGATGTATCTGTCGCAAAAAATAAAAAATAAAATAAAAATCTCACAATCTCCATGCAATGTAAATATATTGTCGCATGGTTGTTTATTATTAAGTACAGAGTCAGGATGAATCAGAATAAATTCAAAAAGGTGGAAACATTATTTCAGATTTTTTTTTCTGTCCGTCAGCCATATTGTTGGCTACATTGGCTTTAAAGCAGAACTATGAATGTCTGCTTGTAGGGTGACATTCATAGTTCTGGTACTGACAAAGCTCTTGAAAGTTTTTCCAAAAATCTATCGTCAACTAAAACTACTGGATGTTCTTAAGAGAGTTCTTGGTGGTGAAAAATAAGATATACACAGTAAAAAATCCCAATCTTGACATCAAAGTGGGTGGAAAGAAATCACAAGAGTGCATTAAGTGAGGAATCATGTCTGCAGATGAACAGATGAAAGGAAGCATGATTGATTCTCATCCACTGGATCAGATATACGATTCTTTCAAAAATGCTTTGAATCAAAGTTTAAAAAAAAAACTAAAATATTTATCTATCTGTCTATGAATACAATATGATAATTACGAAGAACCATTTTTATGCAAGCTGTAAGTCTGTCAAAGCACCTCCAAAATGATTGGTTTGATGGCCAATTCTTGCATGCAGACAACCTGTTTCCACAAAAGCTCAGAGGTCCATGCTAGCCACTGTACTATAGACAAAATGCCAGCATACAGGCTCTTCTTGAAATGGTTTTTGCATAGTTCAGAGTTAGGCATTGGGTCATTGTCCTGTTGTAACAGGAAATTGGTTGCAATCAAGTGGTGCTGACAGGGTATGACATGACGAAATGGAGTGGTAGCTTTTCTTGTTCAAGATCCCATTATCCCATCTCTTTGCTGGTAATCAATCTTGCAATTTATCACCAGCAGACCAACGCATTTCTCCACCATTCTTGACAGATGTCAAGCACACCTCCAGCATTTTTTTCATTTCCTACTCTCAATCTTCTATTTGACCCAAACACCTTAAGCTTAAATTTGTCTGTCCATAACACTTTACCTCCTGCCCACTCTCTATGCTTTCCCCATCCTAATCTTCTCCTTTTATTAGCCATTGTCAGATATGGCATTTTCTATCCTAAGAGACTGAACATGACTGGCAGAGGACGTGTGTTTGATTTTACAGCTAGAGGTCATCTGACAAAATTAATACACATAAGTCAAAATGATCACACAAAGAGAAAATTAGAGACAAGAGAATGTTTTTCTTATTTTTTTTTCACACAATACACAGATTCAGACTAAATAACAGCATGCAAATATAATACAGTTCTGTTTAGTGTTTACTGCCACTAAACAGAATAGAACAGAACAATGCCTGTGGATGGAGAGCAAGAACAAAGCAGTATGCCCAGTTGTTTATCAAAAAAAGTTGCTAGATTTGACACTTAAAAAAAGTTGTCAAAGGATTCTTCAAGTCTAGGAACAAAGTCACTGAGTTGTCAAAAACTATGTGAACTGAAGCATGCTAATCACTCCTGTGAGTCAGGGGAACGTAAGATACCAAGCTGAGGTGCTTTTCATGTCCACATTAAAAAAAAACCACAAAACCCTCTTTATCCCAAATTTAAAAACACTATGGAAACAAATACTTTGATATTCGTGTCTAAAATTGGCCAAACTCACTTTAAACAAGCATTAAATTATATGGTGATGGAACAAAAGAGTTTATTCTGATATTAGCATAGCACCCAAGAGTATATCATGGGTTGAGTTGAGTTATGATTTCTATAACTGTGTCACTGTTACACAGTAAGTTGTACAATCGATTTAATTTAATAATTTTTAATGTACTCTGCAGAGTTTTGACCTCCGGTTTTTCAGTGTAGCTGTGTTTCATGTGAGTAGCCCCCTCGCACTGTTTTGCAAGTAAACACGATAAAGCCCGAGTACAAGTAAGCAGGCTTTGCGATCCAAATCTCAGAGTCGATTCAGCTCTAATCTGCGTATCAACAGTGGGAGTGACAGCTGTTAATCAATCAATCAAACAATCCAGGATAAAAAAAATACTAAAAAATCTACAAAAATTTGGGATTTTTTAGTAAAGGTTCCCTGTACCTATATGCTGGTTTAAACTGCAGGATACACTTTGAAGTTCTTTTGTTCACAAAAAAAGCATAAATATATGCCTTGTGTGTGCGCGCGTGTGCGTGTGTGTGTATGTGTGTTTGAATTTGCTGGTGCAACTTTACAAAAAATCTACCCAAATGCACTTTTTAGTGACTATGTAGCTGTGGATGTGACAACCAGCAATTACACTATGGTAAATTATTATGTTTGGGGAGGACGGGCTGATGCAGGCCAGTAACCATCAGTCTTTCAAAGGCAACTGATGCAACTGTGGTAGCATATAAATAGGACAGATGCTAGACAGCATAAGGACTAGGACAAGTAGAGAGAAGCACTCTGAATATATGAGCATAGCAGCAGTCTTCATATGAAAGACTTGTTTTACTTTTTAAATTTTCTTTGTATTTCATATAGATTTAGGGGGTATTTTCTGCTAAGATTACAAACCACCATATGCCTACTATTGAACACCATTGTGTCAGTCTTGCCTCATTATTATTCTTTATCTTCTGAATTTAACAGGAAAAGAGCCAAGTGCAGAGTGGAAAATTCAACACAAAGCCCACACACGACAATGACGAGGCAGAGGGAGGCAGCAGCAAAAAGACAAAGCCCCATAAATACAACTGAGAGGACGGCATATCAACGGGAGCACAGATCTACTGCATTGCCTGAAGGATCTTTCTAAGAGCACATACTCGCACACTTCTACAAAACGCATGCACACACACACAGACACACACTCACTTTTTCGACACACATGCACACATGCGCATATCAGCATTGTTAGCAAGAGCTGAGACACTGGAATTGTCAAAAAATTTAAAACTGTCATCTAAAAAAAACCTCCATAGTAAAATGGCATGCGTTTAGAAATTTTTTTCAAAGGTAGCAATGGCACTGGTAACTTGTTTCATGATCGTTCATTTGTTGTTTACTTATCTGAGTTCTGTTCCGAGTGAGGACACTGCTTTCTAAATGTGTGATCTTTCTAGAAAATCCCTTTGCACTGGTGAGGTCTGACACTGTATCCTGTGATAAGTATATCAATTGACAAATAAAAAAGTACTCCTACCACTACTATTACTACTACTACTACTACCCAACTTAGAATATTGTTTGTCACTCATTGTAGCAAGGTTAATTTACTCCTCCACATTTTGAAATATAGAGGCTCAAGTTGGCTGGCCAACTGTTCAACATTTAATATTTCAGCACTCTTTCTGCCTTTAACACTCCAGAGGCAAAGAGCCAAAGACTCACAATGGGTCGTCTCCCTGAGAATGTGCCATGCACTGAGTAGTAACTCCTAGCTACATGTATCTGTGTTATCTGACCTTTCTGTGTCCTTTCAATAAACTGTAATTTTCAGTAAATGTGTGAAGAATAAATGGTTATTTGTGGGAAAGAAATTAGTGAGTATGTTTGTGATTAACGGCAGAAAACATTTCTTATTGCAAAGAAAGTTCCGGTTTCACGCCCTGTGAATATGAACTGCTCGAGGTCGTGGGAGACATCGGTTGATATATTTAATTGGTTATCGAAACAGTGTATGTACCTTTTGGATTATAAACATCTAATAATAAATATGAACATATTTATATCAAAAAAGCGCACTTGAGGTTTTCTTCAAAGAAATCCTACAGCTTTATTACTCATAGCCAAAAAAGGTTGTTTTTTTTTTAAAGTAAATTTGCCATGGACAGTTATGTCTCAAGCACAAATGTGGCTGGGTAAAAATGGATTCAAATTCAATAAAGCTGTGCTTATGTTAAGCCTTAGTGATTTCACTTTCAATATAAAGCAGAAAATAGGGGAGGGGTAACAAGAAAATGAAAAAAACTGAAAGTTCTCATGAGGTTCATGAAAACAGCCAGAGTTACACAAAGAAGCTTGTACACAAAGAGGAATAATAGAATTAAGACATGCAATATATATTTTATAAAAGGCACCTCCAACATCCCACTGTCTCATCAGTCTTGGTATGCAGTGTCATTTTACAGTACTGTCAGCATTTCAAAAGCTTCCACATGTTAAGCATCACTCTCAAATGCTCATACTATATTGTTAACTATAAAAGCACATCTGTGGCTCCTTTAAGAGCTTTGGAAGCTCACAACTGTGTTAAGCAGCTTTATGGTCACAGCATCCCCTTCATGTGATACTTGGCTATCATCACCGAATACAACAGTGACCGTGCTGGAAAATGTTAGCCGACAGGTGGAGAATGCTATTTTAAGACGCACAATCCATCTTTTCTGTAAGTTTGACAGCTTTTCCCAGGTCGTCTCTGTGTCTTGCTGAGAAGAGAAGAAAAGAAAAGGACCACTGCCAGGATTTGGAGACCCAGGGTGCATCCTGCTAATGGTGACATTACACCTTGGAGCCAACTGTTTCCAGAACATTGGAAAGAAGAACTATGGTAAAGTTTTCCTATCAGACAGACAAGCCTGAGGTTTGATCAAAGTGGCATTGGAGAGTCTGTATGTCATATCCTTTTTACTGCCTCCTATTCACTGCTGATAATGATGTATTTTTCAAGGACAGAGAGTCAGATTTCATTCGTAGCTGACCTAGACAGGGAACCTATTCTTACATCCAGCCAAAGAGAACTGTTCAATGTGAATACAAAGTATTGACTGCTGTAAAGTTAATGCAAATTTACTTTACTGGGTAGAGATGTTCTAAGAGATTATGAAATAAAGGTAATGGAATCCCACACAGTGTTAGCATTAAGCTTTGTCCTTGAGTTCGCTACATTCTTTCTAGTTAACAAAGCTTTATACAATTAAAAAGCACATCGCTGCAAGACAAGTCTGCTAAAATATAACTCTTTACAATCTTTGTTTTTCCTAGGCTATATAAGCCAACCTAGAAATTCTTTTTAAAAGCACCAGTGTTGGTGTTAACAAATGAAACTCTGAGACCATAATGCAGGTTGCAGGTTCAGCCTGTCTGTGGAACTTGTTTTTCCTCCGTTTGTTGAAAATGTGCAGATACCATTTGCCTGCTGGCTTTTGTTTACACGTCCCCAATCATTGGAACAAATGACGCTGCAGCAGGCCTATTGTTGTACCTGCAATAACAGTGGTCACTCCATATTTTGCGATTTAAAAAAATACACAGTTTTCAAAATAAGCTGCCAGCATATTTAAACTACATGGACTATTGATTTGGGTCTATGGGAACCCCTAGACTAATTCATTTGACCCAATATAAAACAGTTTAAATAAACACACAGTCAAGCAGCCCTGAGACATCATTTCTCCAATGTGTCCAGGGTAATACCCCTGGACTTCTTCCCAGTAGGTCTGAAACACCTCTTTGTGAGGCATCCTGGTGAGACACCTGGACCACCTCAAATGGATCCTTTTGATCTTGGAGATATCCTTCCCAAATTACCAGTGTTCTCACCCTGTTTTTAAGGCTTAGTCTAGTCACCACTGAGAGGAAGCTTATTGCAGCTGCTTCTATCTGCAGTGTCATTCTTTCTGTCACTACTCAGAGCTTGTGACTATAAGTGACAGTAGGAACAAAGATCGACCTGTAAGACTGACAGGTTCACATTCACACTCAGCTGATGCTGTGTTAATCCATCTGTCAATCTTCTATTCGACTCTCCACTCACTTGTGAACAATATTCCAGAACACTTGAACTCCTCCACTTGGGGTACGAGTTAATTCCCGATCTGGAGTGGGCACTTCGTTTTCTGATACCCAGAGTCTCAGACTCAGAGGTGCTGACTCTCATCCCAACCACTTTACAGCTGGCTGCTAATTGATCCATTGCTGTAAGACAGGGGACCCAGAAATTCTGCCCATAAATATTATAAACAGACTCACTGACAAAGGGGAACATGGTGGAGATCAGCACACACTAGGAATGAATCTGACTTATTGCTGACAGTTCAAACTAAGTTCTCACTATACTGTGGTTCTACAAGGATTAGAAATAATGTTTCTTCTTTTAAAAATAGGATCTAACTATTGGGCAAACACTGAGTAAATAAATAGTTCCATATTCACCAGGTTAGTCCTTTTTCAGGTCCTCTTGTTCCCAGCTACTGTGATGTGAACCCTGTTTTCTCAACATTAGCATTTTCTACACTATTATACTGTTTTTAGGGTGCAGAATATTTTGGCAACTGATTGGAGGATACATACTTGCATGGCAAGTACACTTTTTATTCTATATTATTTGGATAGTGCATCCAAAGTCTGTATGGGTGCATTACACAAATGGCAATACACTTCTTCCATGTCAGCAAATAA